CATTTTAAAGTGTACAATCCAGTGGTACAAGAACATTCACAATGTTGTGCAAGAATCACCTCTATCTAGGTCCAAAACATTTTCATTACTCTGAAAGGAAACCCATACCCATAGCAGTCACTCCCCATTCCTACCTCCCCACAGCCCCTGGCAACCACTAATCTCCTTTGTCTCTGTGGATTTCCCGATCCTGGATATTTCATGTAAACAGAATCCTACAATATGTGACCCTTTGTGTCTGGCTTCTTTAGTGATTCTTAACCCTTTTTTTGGGTCTACATGATTGAATATATTTTCAGCCTAGATCCCTTCCATCATATTCTCTTCATACTTCAACTCTTTAGTTTAACTTGATGGAGCTGAATGGGAATGTCTTAAGTTAATGGGCCCTATCAATCATTTCCCCATGTTACTATCATTCATTCATTCATACAAATATTTATTGTACACTTACTCCATGCCAGCCACTGTTCTAGGCACCAACAATGCAGCAGTCACAAAGCAAGTTACCTCACTGGTTACCTCATCTTTTTGTAACTTTCAAATTGTAGGATACATCCAAGAGAAATAGTACTAAGTTAGATATACACAGATCTTCATTTTAGGGAGTTCTGGTTTTTTGCTACATCCTCGTGTGTGTGATAAACTATACATAAACTTACCGTTTTTTATTTATTTATTTATTTATTTCCCCCAAAGCCCCAGCAGATCGCCGTATGTCATAGTTGCACAGCCTTCTAGTTGCTGTATGTGGGACGCGGCCTCAGCATGGCCAGAGAAGTGGTGCGTTGGTGCGCGCCCGGGATCCGAACCCGGGCCACCAGCAGCAGAGCGCGCGCACCCAACCGCTAAGGCAGGGGGCCGGCCCTAAACTTACCACTTGTAAGCGCCACTTGCATTTGCTTTCTTTTATTTAGACCTTTCTTCTTTTCTATATTCATTACTCCCCGTCAATAGTACATCTCTCTTCTTTTTAATGTAAATTTCATATAATACAAAATAGTGATTTTGACTATTCAATCCACTTAATTAGTTGGGTGGGAAAAAGAAATTTCATACACCTGAAGCACTAAGTTTGACATCAGGGGTGGACACATTTTGAACAAATAAGCCTTGATTTTACAATACAAATAATAAACTTTTAATTGTCACAATGAAGCAATATATATTTGTGCTTCATATTTCTCAAGGTGCTATGAAATTCAAATGTTGTAAGCGACGATATCCTAAAAAACAAGCAGCAAGGAAAGATTATTCTTTTTGAATCCATGGGCAATGTCTATATGACAGCTTTTAAGCTAAGAGGTAGCATAATTTCCCTGAATTTGTATGTTAAAACTGGTCTACTGGTTTTCTGCAAATTCCTCTCAACTCCTCTCTCCAGACTACCCTTCAAGAGGGTAACTAAGAACTATCAGGAAACTGGTATATATTCTTATAGAGCTTATTCTTTGCAGAAAATAATTTAAAAACCAAGCATTTGTATACAAAAATTGTTTTCTGTGTGCACCCTTCCTAGGAAGACAGGTTGTATGTTTTTTTCAGATTTTTAAGGGAGCCATTAGCCAAGCAAGATTAAGTAGGAACCACTGCTGTAAAGTTAGAACCAAAAGAAACTAAAAGCTTTTCTTACCCTTCAGTGAGTTGAAAAAATTGTCTTGGATATTTACTTTATTATAGGTAAAAGAAGTGAAAATGCCCAGAAATACTTCAACTTTTTTTTTCTCTACTCAGCTATGTGACCCCAAGGAAAGTTTCCATAACTTCTATAGATGTAAAATGGCAATAGCATCTATTTTATAGGACTTTAAAAGTATAAATGAGATAATGCCTGTAAACCTATAGGAAGCAAACCAATAAATATTAGCAACTAAGTTTTTTATCTTCACATAATTTCAAACTTTCAGAAAATAGCACATGGAAATTCTTGTATACCTTTTACCCAGATTCACCAATTGTCTGCTATTACGTTTTTTTAATTGCTTTTTTGTTTTTGTTGACCTAATTCACCCATTCCCCCGCCACTACTAATCTTTTATCTGAGCTTGGTTTTTGTTTTGTTTTGAAATTCCACATATAAGAGAGATCATACGGTTTTTGTCTTTCTCTGACTTCACTTAGCATAACGCCTTCGAGGTCCATCTATGTTGTTGCAAATGGCAAGATCTCATTCTCAATAATATTCCACAATCTCTTTCTCCATTAATCTATTTTTTTTTTTTTAAAGATTTTATTTATTTTATTTTATTTTTTCCCCCCAAAGCCCCAATGGATAGTTGTATGTCGTAGCTGCACATCCTTCTAGTTGCTGTATGCGGGACTCGGCCTCAGGATGAACGGAGAAGTGGTGCCTCGATGCGCACCCGGGATCCGAACCCGGGCCACCAGCATCGCAGCGCACGCACTTAACCACCAAGCCACAGGGCCGGCCCTCTCCATTAATCTATTGATGGACACTTAGGTTGTTTCTGTATCTTGGCTATTGTAAATAATGCTTCGATGAACACGAGGGTGCACATATCTTTTCAAGTTAGTGTTTTCTTTGGATAAATATCCAGAAGCAGAACTGCTGTGTAGTTTTTTTTTTTTTTTGAGGAAACTCTATACTGGTTTCCATAGTGGCTGCACCAATATACATTCCCACCATCAGGGCACAGGGTTCCCTTTTCTCCACATCCTCATCAACATTTATTTCTTGTCTTTTTGATAATAGCCATTCTGAGGTGTGAGGTGATACCTCCGTGATCATTAATGGCGTTGAGCATCTTTTCATGTACCTGCTGGCCATCTGTATGTCTTCTTTGGAAAAAATGTCTCTTCAGATCTTCTGCCTATTTTTTAACAGAATTGTTTTTTTTTGCTGTTGTGAGTTCTTTATATATTTTGGACATTAGCCCCTTATGAGATATGATTTGCAAATATTTTCTCCCATTCGGTAGGTTGCCTTTTCATTTTGTTGGCTTCCTTTCCTATGCAGTTTTGTATTTTGATGTATCCCACTAATTTTTGCTTTTGCGTCCGATTCAAAAAATCATCGCCAAGACCTATGTCAAGGAGCTTACTGCCTATGTTTTCTTCTAGTTTTATGGTTTCAGTCTTTAATCCATTTTGAGTTAATTTTTACATATGGTGTAAGACTGGTCGAGTTTCATTCTTTTGCCTGTGGCTGTCTAGTTTTCCCACCAAAATTTTTGGAAGAGACTGTCCTTTCCTCATCTTATACTCTTGGCTCCTTGGTCGTAAACTGACCATATATGTGTGGGTTTACTTCAGGGTTCTCTATTATGTTCCACTGAATTGTTTTTGTGCCAATAACATACTGTTTTAATTACTGTAGCTTTTTAATATAGTTTGCAATCAGGAAGCATGATGGCTCCAGCTTTGTTCTTTCTGAAGATTGCTTTGACTATTCAGGGTCTTTTGTGGTTCTATACAGAAGAGGCCCAGAAATACCAAAATATCAATACTAAACTTTTATTTCTATATCACATATTCACACAATCTAACCTTTAAGCCTAATATCTATGCACATATAGATAACATTATACCTATGCAACCACTACTTCTGAGAGCAGTTCCTCCTTCTATTAAAAGAACTTGCCTCTTGATTGTTGAAACCACACCTCCCAACGTGTTCCTCTCGCCCAGCCCTTGGTTATTCTCTGTCCTCTCTGACCTCCCTTCTTCTTCAACATTCCAAGTATAATACTGCCTTAAGGCCATTACATTTGCTATTCCCTATACCTAGCATGCTCTTCCTCTAGACATCCACAAGGCTCCCTTTCTCACCCTCAGATTTTACTCAAATTTCACCTTCTCAGGGAATCCTTCAAAGACTGCCCTCTTTAAACCTGTATGCCCCTTAGTCCCCTACTCTCCTTCCCTGTTTTTTCTCCATTAACACGTGATATCTGAATATTATATTTTTAATTATGTTTAGTGTCTCTTCATATGGCTATTAATTCTCTTGCATATTGCGGCTAATGTTTTTTTTTTTTTTTTTTTATTTAAAGATTTTATTTATTTTATTTTTTCCCCCCAAAGCCCCAGCGGATAGTTGTATGTCGTAGCTGCACATCCTTGTAGTTGCTGTATGTGGGA